TTAATCCCGCGTTCTAACGAGGTCATGTTTACATACCGAAAACTCCCAGATTCTAACCATGTCCTAAGGGCCCGTAAACGAGGCAAGTTTTATTGAGTTTTGTACTTGTTTAGGCGAAGCTTCGGCGTAAAAGGGTTAATCCCGCGTTCTAACGAGGTCATGTTTACATACCGAAAACTCCCAGATTCTAACCATGTCCTAAGGGCCCGTAAGTGAGGCAAGTTTTATTGAGTTTTGTACTTGTTTAGGCGAAGTTTCGGCATAAAAAGGTTAATCCTGCGTTCTAACGAGGTCATGTTTACATACCGAAAACTCCCAGTTCTAATAAAGTCCTAGGTCCCACAAGCGAGGCAAGTTTTATTCATACTTACTTAGGCGAAGCTTCGGTGTAATAAAGGCTAGTCCCACGTCTTACGAGGTTTTATCTGCATTCCGAAACTCACTGGATGAAATTTAATCCCATAATCTCATTACAAGTTTATTAAGAACACTTTCGCTTGAGAATAAATAATACAAGCAACGACAGAGATAGAATTAGGTTTGAAAATTGACGGAATGTAATTATTTGCATCCTGCGATTCTGCGCTAAAAGTTAATTTAAAAGTACATATTTACGTGACTTTTATTTTCCATCAAATTTTTTTAGTTCTTTAAAACTCATTATCTACTTTATACCGAGTTTTGATTTTCAAGATAATATTTATTACATTGTAATTTTTTTTTAATATAAAAATTTGTATGAAATAAATCAATAAAAATGATAATTATCGGTAACTATAAATTTTAAAATGGTTAGAAAAATTTTAAATTTTAATCAAAGGGATAATTTTTAAAGGATGGCGTCCCGCAAAAATTATTAAATTTGAAAGTAGAAATGTTTCGTCGATAGAATGCTCCTCCGAGAAATGAGAACTTTCTATAAATCTAGGGCTAAGATGTTAAAAAATTTATTTATTAGAGAAGTCCGAAACTCAGTGACGGCATGCGATCAAACAGGTGCATTTGGTGTATGAAACTTACCTTTATGATTTACGACTACCGCAAAAAGATATATTTTCACTTTATCTAAAAACATATAAAGTATATGTTCAAAATTATTCATAGCGTTGGAGCGTTATTGTGGGAAATTGCAGAGCTAAATTAACCTCTTTCAGGTTTATAATACAATTTTTTGAAAATTTAAAAACCATTTAAATTTAAAACATTTTGTTCTTTTTCGTGATTTTTTTTTTTTTTTATAGCTTTGGAATATGGACATTTGCCCGACAGTTTGACCAGAATTATGCAGAGTTATGCACGTGCATGTGATAAATTGACCAGCATTAGGCTGTCGGGATTTGTCCTGTCTGGATGGGTTTGTCGTTCAATTAATTTAATATTTTTTATTTGAAGTTTAACAATCATTACGATACAGCATAAATATACGATCAGTTCGCCGAAAATATAAGGCTTTGGCTGCTATCTTTCTAATTCTGAAGTGGAAATGATAATCCTTTATCAAATATAATATTTATTAACTACTTTGATTCTTATAAGATCGTAATGAATGAATAATTTTATCAGCGTTAGTTATTTAAATAGTTTAGTTTAATTTATCGGCGACTTGAAATTTGATTAACCGCGTGCATTTATTTTTTGCTTTTCTCCAAGAATTTTAGTTCTTACGATATATAAATATTTAATAAACCGACAAGCAAGCTGTCAAAATTCGAATGAGTGAATTAATTGGATTCAAAAAATCTATCTCAATTAAAAATATTAAATACAAACATTTTAACAATATTCAAGAAATTGGTACGCGTAGCTTTGGAAAAGTCTATCATGCAAATTGAAAAAGTTCAAATCAACGTTTTGCGTTAAAATCGTTTCATAACTACAGTTAAAAAACCTGTTGAGGTAATTACAAAATAAAAGATTGTATTCGGGCTTACTTCGATCTATTTTGTATAAAAATTTTTGAAATTCAACGGGAAGTTGATTTTCATAGCAACATCATCCGCTTTTTGTGAATTATATCCTACCAAGGTATAAAGTTTAAATAATACATTTATTTTAAATAAATAATTTTTTTTTAAAAAAAAAAGAATTAGAAAATCAAAATAATCAATTGAAAAATTATTGGAATATGAAGTAACTAGTTTGAAAGTATAAAACTATAAAATCGTCGGAAATATCAAAACTTCATCCAGTAGCCGAAGCAACCAAAAATTGTATTTTATTGTTTCAATTAACGTAAATAATATACATATAATATGGTAGAAGCTACATAAGTTGATTTTTTTTTTATAAATATTGGCGTAGCAATTTTTTTGCATATTCAGAAAAAAAATTTTGACGCCAATTCAAGACTCATCGTCAAAACTCTTTTTCAATCTTACTTGAAGCAAGCGAAGTTTATTTAAGAGACAATGAATGATTACATAAATTTTTTAAATATATTTTAGTTGCAAAGTTCCTACATTTATTGTAGGTGAATAATAATATGACATGTTTTAATAAATTTATCATGAAATTTATATTATCAAATACTTATAATTTATTGTAAACCGACGTCATTTTCTAGCTTTTCAAATTTCAACTCTAATACTGTAGGTGAATTAATCCGAGTCTTTACAAGAATTATGATCTCCACCAAATCGACAAGTCACCAAACGTAAATGCAACCATGAATTCATTCATCAAAATATTTTCAAATTCTCATTTGATAATTTTTTAATTAATATAAAATACATCTTTTTATTTTTTTTTTGGAAACCTAAAGAAAAATCTTATTTCCTGTTTAAAAGGTTTAATTTATCTTTTTACTAATTTATTATTTTTGATCTAAAAAAATCTTTACCAAATGTATAGCGCACCTTCGTGCATCATGTATATAACTCGAAAAATACTTGGATCAGATTAGAAATAAATAAACTTTCTCATGATAAATGAATGTTTTCAAGTCCATCCGTAATATCTTCGTCAGAATCAGCCTCTTGGGATAATCTGCTAACTGAAAATGCAAAATTTATGAATAAAAAAAAATAAAATCATATTTCGAGCAATTTCGTTAGATAATATGAATTGAAGTAGTTACTTGTTTTAGAACTTTTATCAGAATTAGAATTGTTGAACTTATGAAGCCTTTTGATCGCTTTCCATTATGGGCGTAGCCCGAACTGGGCAAGTATTTCAAATATGTGAAATATTTGCCCGATTCAGGGCTGTATCCCGACACTTAAAATACGGCCTAAAATTAAAAAGGTAGTGTTTATTATAAATAAAAACTGATTTTTAGGCTGTATTTTATCGAAAAGCCGCAAAAAGTTATATATATTAAACCACTGTCCATTAAGCTTAAGCAGTATAAAAGCTGCTAAGTTAGTATGATCGTAGAAACTCAAATCCTTTCCAAATAAAGTTAAGCGACGTTTGCACCAGCTTTTCAGCTAATAATTGATCGACAAAATCGTGGCCTGGGCTTCACTGAAAATAGCGATATATGGTCTTCAAATACTTGTTTCATTAAATTATAATGGTTTCTTTAAATATCGAATTGGTTTAAGGTAATATTTATCGTAATCATGTTATTGTCGCACTATTTATATAATGCATATATATATAGGACTTTCTATGTCTTTCAAAACTCTTCCATGGTCTTGGATATATACCGTCATCTCAAATTTCAATACCGTAATTATTTCTTCTAGTTTAAGAGAGGAAAAAATTAATCAAATTAAGAAAAGTTTGGTCACAGCTAAAAAAATTTTTATTTAATTAAAATGGTAGAAATAAGAAATATATTATTAATCGGCAATGCGGGTAAAGGAAAGTCTACCCTTGCAAATGTTATTACTGGAACTAATGAATTTGAGGAAAATACGCATCGTATTCGAGGTACTAGCGAGGCAAAGTCTTTAGAATTTGATCACAGAGGATTAAGATACCGTGTCATTGATACCGTAGGAATTGGAGATTCTATCAGGCCAACAGGAGATATAATAAGTAAATTGGGAGACAAAGCTGATGTGGTTAGTGAAGGTTTAAATCAAATATTATTTGTAACTAATGGTCGCTTTACCAAGGAGGAAGTTGAAGCTTTTAATTTACTAAGCAAAGCTATATTTGATGATCAAGTAACTTATTACACTACTATTGTCTGCACTAGTTTTTCTAGATTTGAAGATGAGGCTGCATGTGAAGAGGATCGTCGAACGTTTCGAGAGGAAATCTCAAAACTTTCGACATCACTTGCTTCATCTGCGACTATTTACGTGGATAATCCTCCATTACAAGGTCGTTATAAGTTAATAGCAAGAGGTTCACGAGATGCATCTCGCAGAATCTTGTTAGAGCACTTGAAAGTCTGTCAAGAAGTCTACAATCCCGAAATGCTTTCTAAATTTAGTAAAATGATCGAAGAGTTTAATACAATTATCCAAGAAACGATCGAGGCAATGAAGGTTGTTGATTATCAGTTTAATAACAACGCAAACTATATAGGAGAATTCATGTTTGAACGGGAAAGTATAATCGAAATGATTGAAAAGCGCAGAGATTTAGTAAAAGAACAAATGAAAGATCGATTTACAGCTAGTGCTTTAAGTCATGCTGCTATTTTAAGTGGTAAAGCTATGGCGATCTCGGGAATATGGTTCCCACCTGCTTTGGTGCCAGGTGCTGTTATATCGGTTGGTGGTTGGCTGAGTGCCTCTGGTACTGAATCTGTTGCAATAATTAAGGAAAATGAAGTATACAAATTCTTCAAAGAAAGCCTTGCGAAAGACAAAGAAAAGCGTGAATTATTAGAACTCTCACAAACAGAATTAAAAGAATCCATTATCAAATTAAACGAAATCCGTCCTCGCTTCAAGGGTTCAGAATACAAAAAACAGAACTTGGACAAAAAAAGAATTGACATAATTAAGACTGTGCTGAACAGTTTTCTTGGTGAAGAAATTGATACTGATTTATCTGAATTGAAATTAGACGATAAAGAAAAAACTGAACATAATACTGGTTTGAAAGCAGTGAGAGCCGCACTGGAAGCTGTTTGTAAACCTGTGGCGTCTCCCATTTCAGTTTATTGTATTTATCGAGATCGACAGGAAATTGAAAGTCGTACTTCTTTGGACGATATGGATAAGATAATTAAAAGTTGGAGAGAAGAATTAACGGTTTTAAAAAAAAGAGAACTATTACTAAATGAAGAATATAAGAAAGTTAGGTGGTGTAAAGAGGAATTGGCAAAATTATCATCAGTTGTTGATTGAAAAAACCCTACCAATTGGATTATTATTATTATTTTTTTTTTATATTAAATTTTTTATTATGCTAAATAAATGCGATTATTGGAATATTTTGATATATTAACGTTAATTTACATTGCTTGTTGTAACACTAAATATTTAAAATCACTCATAATAAAAGTTAATGGAGCATTAAGGAGGATAGATTCTCGCGGAAGTTACTCAATATTGTGTTTTTCGTGTACCAACACCGGACGATTACTGATTATATTGATTTACTATGTCGAGCGAGTATACTCGTCAATAAGTTTATTTTAATGATCATTTAATTATTAAAACCCTATTGAACGCTTCTTATTACATACCAAATTCTTTGAAATATTTAAAACCTTCCGAAACATAACCGCTAAGACTATAATCAAAGATTTAATTATCTCATTTGGAATAAACCAAGCGCTTTGTTATATTTATAGTATAAATGTTATGAAATTATTTTATTATTAAACATTGTTATATTATTAAATTTTGATAGGCATTTAATATTTTGCTTAATGACCAGCTTAAAATCATTCGCTTTGTTACATTTAATTAGTTCAATAAATTGAGCTTATGCAGCCCTCTAATGCAGGCTATTGTATTTAACATTTAGATTATATAGAATATTACCCGAAACGATGAATCCTAGAAAACTAAAAAAAATAGAAGAACCGACTAAAAATAATAAAAATTAATAGTAAAAAACTTTACCTATGCAAATTGCAGCGATTCAAAAAAGAGTAATCAAAAGAAATCATAAAAATTAGAATAATTAATATCGTGATGCAAAAAAAAAGGAGAGATAAAATATACCTATCACATATCGCAGAAGCCCGAAATTATCAAAGCCGAATAAACCAACCCAAAATTTCAAAAAGATAATATTCGAACGTTTGCAATTTTTAATTCCTTGTATTACAGATTCACGTAATATATATGACATTACAACTGAAATTGGAGGCGTGAAAATATTCTGATGCACAAGGTTATTATGTGATTATTTTGTTATTATACTTCATTTTGCAGCGAAATTTGTCTTCCAAATTTGAAGAAATAATGTTGTTATTTTCTTATAATTCAGATGCCTCAAAAATATTGGCGCTGAATGTTGTGCATCAGATGTCGATTTGCGTCAACTGACTGTTGTCATGCGTCAGAAGTCTAATGCTGACCAAACCTTCTTAAGGCATTATAAGATCGGCCCAAATAGGCCCATAATTTAGGCCAGTCGGCAACGCATATCATCACCTGAGGCACAACATGAACCTTCAAGAATAATAATAAAAGTGGGTGGGGTTGATGGAACAACAACTTGAGCTTATTTACTTTCTTTAAATTTATATTGATCTTCTAAAGAATTAAACGGATTAATACTTCATTTTTTGCCTATTTTTCAGCTGAAGATTTTTATCTGCTGTAATTTTAGTTGCAGAAAAAATTTAAGAAAATTTCGTTTTAATATTTAAGATTTTGGTAAAATTATGTAATCTTTTTTTTTGCACTGAAAGTAGTCGATAAGATAAATATATTTTGTTAAAAAGTAACTTTCTAAAATTGCTATTTCTTTCCTAGTTTCTAATTTCATAGAAAGTTAATGGTAAAAAAAAAAATTATTATATTTAACATGGAACGCCGTCATGGACAGAAGTTCAAATGAGATATTTGACGCTAGACTTATATAGTAAAGTTTTAATTTAAAAAAAGGAAATGATATTCAAAGGCTGAAATTATTTATATACCGAAAATTACCAATTCTTGAAAAAAAATTAATCGCAAAATGGTTTTAAAACAAAACTTAGAAAAAGATTTGAAGAACTTGAATAAAAGATTTAAGGACTTAGAACAAAGCAAAAAGAAAGCAGATGATGAAAATCAATTGCTGCTCTCCTTTTTATTGAATGAAATCGGTAGTAATGATTTAGATAATTTAAAAGAATTATTAGCAGGACAAAAACTTACTGAGATATTAGCAGAATTAGATAGCCGAAAGCAAGAAATTCAAAATTTAAGCTTTGATTTAACAATAACAAGAGAAAACGTGGGCGCTCAATCTAAAGATTTTGAAGAAAAGATTAAAGCCAAGCAAGAAACTATTAATACACTAGAAGAAATTATAAAAGAACGAGACGAAGACGTCAGAACCAAGCAAGAAATAATTAGTAATTTAGA